TGATCGGCGACTCCAAATCCAACAGCCTCATCTCCATCAAGCGCTTGACGCTGCAGCAGAAAGCCAAGGTGAGCGGGACCCCGGGGAGGGGGGGGGGAAACGGGGGGGGCCACCCCCTCTCCCCGCCACCACCCCAACCCCGGTTCTGCTCGCCGCGTAGGTAAAGCTGGATTTCGTGGCCCCGGCCACGGGGACGCACAACTACACGCTGTATTTCATGAGCGACGCCTACATGGGCTGCGACCAGGAGTACAAGTTCAGCGTCGACGTGAAGGAGGCGGAAAGCGACAGCGACTCCGACTAACGCGGAGGGGGGGGGGGGATGATCCCACCCCACCTCTGGCAGCAATTGCGTCGCCTCCATTTCTGTGGCTTCTATTTTTTTTTTTTTTTTTTTAAGGTGTTGCTTTGTACAGTTGTTTTTTTTTTTTTAGACAGGAGCTGCACGCAGACGCGTGACTGCGGCGGCTGAATAAATACCGAGATTCATCTCACCTTCTCTGCACTGTCAGGTCTTGGTGGGGGGGAGAGGCAAACAGGCACGCTCACCTCCACTTTGACCTCCCCAACTCATCGACTAGCTCTGCGCCTTCACTCTGGGGCTCAAAAAAGTTCATTAGCAGAACTAATTAAGGCAGAGTTGGCTCGGTTAGCCATCTCGAGGAGCACTGAGCCGGCACCAGCCCCTTGAAGCGGATCTGAACGCTTCCCTGGGAGAGACAAACCCAGCTCCCCGGCGGGCTCAGCCCCCTGTACCCCCTCATCCAGCTCCTGGGGGAGCACCTGCACCCTGTTCCGCTCACCCCGAGGGTGCTGGGTGTGTTGGGGATGGCCCCCCAAAAGAAGAGCTGGAGGCTTTGGGCAGGACAACACTGATTTATTGAGCGTGGGGCAGAAGGAGAGGGGGAACAAGTCCTGTCCCGGTTCCTGAAGGTCCTCCCCGGTGCTGGGCATGGAAAACCCCAATCCGTGGGGCAGGGGAGGTTGGTCTCCCTCATCCCCGCTCCGCTCTCCGCGCCGGCGTGGGGCTCGGTGCCGGCGGCAGCGCCGAAGGGTCCGGCCGCTGGGAAAGGGGCGGGGAAAATCGCGAGAGGATCGTCCCTCTCAGCAAACTTCGGGGCGCTGGTACTTCCAGAAAGCGATCTCGCCGTCGTCGCTGCAGGAGGCCAGCAAGCCCGGCTCCTTGGGGTTCCAGGCCACGCAGTTGACGTCCTGCGAGTGCGCCCGGGGGACGTGGGCGGCGAGGCTGAAGGTGGGCTGCTGCGGGTCGGAGGACGGGCTCTCCTCAAAAACCCGGATGGCGTCGTCGCCGCAGGCCGTCGCCAGCGCCCCGGTGAGGTGGCACCTACAGACGGGGCGGGGGGGGAAGGCACCCACTGGGTGACCCACGGAGCCTGGGGGAGGGGGCCGCGCCGTCACCTCCCTCCACTCACCACGCCACGTCGTAGATGGTCCTGGTGTGGTAGCCAGAAAGGTTGCAGACGCATTTCCAGGTGGGGTCGGTGCCACTGCATGCCACGCCTGGAAGGGAAGAGAATAACCTCTGCTCTTTTCCCCTTTTTCCCTCTTTTCCCCCTCTTTTCCCCCTCTTTTCCCCTTTTTCCCTCTTTTCCCCTTCTTTTCCCTTTCCCACTCTTTTCCCCTTTCTCCATCTTTTCCCCTTCCCCCTCTTTTCCCCTTCTTTTCCCTTTCCCCTTTTTTTCCCCTTTCTCTCTTTTCTCCTTCCCACTCTTTTCCCCTTCTTTTCCTCTTCTTCCTCCCTTCTTCTGCTCTTCTCCCCTTCCCACTCTTTTCTTCTTTTCCCCTTCCCCCTCTTTTCCCCTTCCCCCTCTTTTCCCCTTCCCCCTCTTTTCCCCTTCCCCCTCTTTTCCCCTTCTTTTCCCCTTCTGCCTCTTTTCCCATTCTTTTCCCTTTCTCTCTCTTTTCTCCTTGACACTCTTTTCCCCTTCTTTTCCTCTTCTTCCTCCCTTCTTCTGCTCTTCTCCCCTTCCCACTCTTTTCTTCTTTTCCCCTTCCCCCTCTTTTCCCCTTCTTTTCCTTTTCCCCTTCTTTTCCCCTTCTGCCTCTTTTCCCCTTCTTTTCCCTTTCTCTCTCTTTTCTTCTTCCCACTCTTTTCCCCTTCTTTTCCCCTTCTTCCTCCCTTCTTCTCCTGCTCTTCTCCCCTTCCCACTCTTTTCCCCTTCTCTTCCTCTTCTTCCTCCCTTCTTCTGTTCTTCTCCCCTTCCCGCTCTTCTTTTCCCCTTCCCCCTCTTTTCCCCTTCCCCCTCTTTTCCCCTTCTTTTCCCTTTCTCTCTCTTTTCTCCTTCCCACTCTTTTCCCCTTCTTTTCCTCTTCTTCCTCCCTTCTTCTCCTGCTCTTCTCCCCTTCCCACTCTTTTCTCCTTTCCCCTTCCTGCTCTCTTCCCCCTTTCTCCCTCTTTTCCCCTTCTTCTTCTGCTCTTTTCCCCTTCCCCCTCTTTTCTTCTTTTCCCTTCCCTGCCCTTTTCCCCTTCCTTCTTTTCCCCTTCCTTCTTTTCCCCTTCTTTCCCCGCTCTTCTTCCCTTCCCCCTCTTTTCTTCTTTTCCCCTTCCCGCTCTTTTCCCCTTCCCGCTCTTTTCCCCAGCAGGTTCAGAGCAGCTCCACGCCCCGCAGCCCCCCAAAACCGGGGCCGGGACCCCTCACCTTCCTCATTTCCCGGCTTGTACCGGCGCCAGACGCGCACCGTCTTGTCGTCGCTGCAGGAGGCCAGGCGCTCTCCGCTCCGGTCGAAGGCCAGGCTCCACACCGTCGACTCGTGGCCCTCCAGCGTGGCGCAGCACACCCAGTCGTCCTCCTCTTCGTGGTACAGCTTCACCGTGTCGTCGTAGCTGGCCGAGGCCAGGAGCTGAGGGGGGGGGCCGGGGGCTGAGCCGCCGCAGCCCCTTGGCGCCGGGTCGAGCCGGAGCCGGCACGGGAGCAGGTCGCGGCTCTCCGGGTCCATTCCCGGCGCTGGGGTCGGAGAATTGGGGGGGTGTGTGTGTGTCCCCCCACCTCCGCCAGCTCTTACCTCCTGGTTGGGGTGCCAAACCACGTGCTTGACGTCCTGCGTGTGGGAGTTGAGGACGCTGACGCACTCGTACTCCTCCTCTTCATCCACTGCAGGGGGAAAAACGGGGAGATGAGGGGAAGCCGGGGGGGGGGGGGGGGGGGCACTTTGCCTCCCCCCTTCTCCCTTCCAGCCCCCCCAAGGGGGTGTGGGGGGGGCTTTTCGCCTGCACCCCCCCGCCCCTCTCCTCACCTTCCCAGACCCAGACGCTCTTGTCGCGGCTGCAGGTGGCGAGCAGGGTGCCGGAGGGAGCCCAGGCCACCGATTTCACCTCGTTCTCGTGCCCCTCCAGCGTGGTGACGCACTGCGGAGGGCGAGGGGAGGAGCGGGGTGTGGGGGGGGGGGGGGACACGGGGCGGGGCTCTGTGTGTGGGGCGGGGTGTGTCAGGGTGGGGTCTCACCTCGAAGCCATCCTCTTGCTTCTTCCAGATGCAGGTGGTGGCGTCGAAGCTGGCGGAGGCCAGGTAGGAGCCGCAGGGGGACCAGGCCACCCTGCGCACCGTGCGCTGGTGCCCCTCGCCCAGCACCGCCCGGCAGCACCAGCCGGGGCCTGGGGCACGGCAGGATGGAGCCCAGGGTGGTGGGCGGGGACACGGCGGACACAGCCCCGCCCCTCCACCCCCACCCCACGCCTTTCTATTGCACCTGTAGCCCCGCCCCCTCGCTGCAGCCCCGCCCCCGATGCACCATCTGGCCCCGCCCCCTCACCCCAGCGTCCCTTTAGCTCCCTTCATTGCACCTGTAGCCCCGCCCCCTCGCTGCAGCCCCGCCCCCGACGCACCATCTGGCCCCGCCCCCTCACCCCAGCGTCCCTTTAGCTCCCTTCATTGCACCCGTAGCCCCGCCCCCTCGCTGCAGCCACGCCCCCGATGCACCATCTGGCCCCGCCCCCTCACCCCAGCGTCCCTTTAGCTCCCTTCATTGCACCCGTAGCCCCGCCCCCTCGCTGCAGCCCCGCCCCCGACGCACCATCTGGCCCCGCCCCCTCACCCCAGCGTCCCTTTAGCTCCCTTCATTGCACCCGTAGCCCCGCCCCCTCGCTGCAGCCACGCCCCCGATGCACCATCTAGCCCCGCCCCCTCACCCCAGCGTCCCTTTAGCTCCCTTCATTGCACCCGTAGCCCCGCCCCCTCGCTGCAGCCCCGCCCCCGACGCACCATCTGGCCCCGCCCCCTCACCCCAGCGTCCCTTTAGCTCCCTTCATTGCACCCGTAGCCCCGCCCCCTCGCTGCAGCCACGCCCCCGATGCACCATCTGGCCCCGCCCCCTCACCCCAGCGTCCCTTTAGCTCCCTTCATTGCCCCTGTAGCCCCGCCCCCTCGCGCAGCTCCTCCCCCGTTGCCCTGTAGCCCCGCCCCCTCCCTGCCACTCTTTGTCCCCGCCTCTTTTAGCCCCGCCTCCTCACCGTAGCACACACACACCCCCCCCCCCCGCTCTCTGGCCCCGCCGCTAACACAACCCCTCCCCTTTTGCCCCGCCCCTCCCTCCCGCTCTTTGCCCCCGCCCCCTCGCCGTAGCCCCTCCCTCCCCCTGGCCCCGCCCCATCACTGTAGCCCCTCCCTTCCCCTTTGGTTCCACCCCCCACCGTATCCCCTCCCTCCCGCTCTCTGGCCCCGCCCCCTCGCTGTAGCCCCTCCCCCGCGCCCCTTGGCCCCGCCCCCTCCCCCCCCCCCGCCCCGGTGCCCACCTTCCCGCCCCCACAGCCGCACCACCCGGTCCCCGCCGCAGGACGCCAGGAGCGCTCCGCCGGGGCTCCAGGCCAGGAACCAGCACCGGGACTCGGGGTGCGCCGGGACGCGGCCCAGCAGCTCCAGCGCCTCCTTCATGGCGCCGCCGCCGCCGCCGCCGCCCCGCCTCGGCGCGCCGGAAGCGGAAGCGGAAGCGTCGCCGACGGGAAGCGGGGCGGTGGCGGAGCCGGGGCTGGGCGAGCGGCCGGGATGTACACCCCGGGCGGGCCGGGGCTGCCGGGCGGGCGGCGGCGGCGCGGGGGGGCGGCGGGCGGCGGGCTGCCCAAGCAGCCGGAGCGCAGCCTGGCCTCGGCGCTGCCCGGCGCTCTCTCCATCACGGCGCTCTGCACGGCGCTGGCCGAGCCCGCCTGGCTCCGCATCCACGGCGGCACCTGCGCCCGCCAGGAGCTGGGCGTCGCCGACGTCCTCGGTTATGTCGACCCCGAGCTGCTGCGAGGTGAGGCCGGGGCGCGGGGAGCCGGGGGGGGGGCGCCCCCCCCCCCAACGGCGCGTTTTGGGGGGGGGGGCTGGGTGTCCGCGTCCGTGTCGGCGCCCCCGCACCCCCCCACGACGGTCATACATAAAGCTTTCCCCCGAAATAAGCCCTCCTCCCCCCCCCACGACGGTCATACACAAAGCTTTCCCCCGAAATAAGCCCTCCTCCCCCCCCCCACGACGGTCATACATAAAGCTTTCCCCCGAAATAAGCCCTTCTCCCCCCCCCACGACGGTCATACATAAAGCTTTCCCCCAAAATAAGCCCTTCTCCCCCCCCCCCCCCGACGGTCATACATAAAGCTTTCCCCCGAAATAAGCCCTTCTCCCCCCCCACGACGGTCATACATAAAGCTTTCCCCCAAAATAAGCCCTTCTCCCCACCCCCCCCGACGGTCATACATAAAGCTTTCCCCCGAAATAAGCCCTTCTCCCCCCCCCCACGACGGTCATACATAAAGCTTTCCCCCGAAATAAGCCCTTCTCCCCCCCCCCCACGACGATCATACATAAAGCTTTCCCCCGAAATAAGCCCTTCTCCCCCCCCCCCCACGACGGTCATACATAAAGCTTTCCCCCGAAATAAGCCCTTCTCCCCCACCCCCCGACGGTCATACATAAAGCTTTCCCCCGAAATAAGCCCTTCTCCCCCGCCCCATTTTATCCCCGAAACCTCAGGGCTCAACCCCCCCCCCAGCCCCGCCGCACGCATCCCAACCCCAAACCTCAGCGCTGAACGTGGGCGCTTGCGGTTACCGGCACAAAACGGGGCTCCCAACCCCAGCAGCCCCGCTGTCATTAAAAAAAAAAAAAAAAATCAGGAAGAAACACCACCCCCACCCCCAAAAAAAAAAAAAAAAAAACCAAAACACCATTCCCAACTTATTTTTTGAGCTAACAGGCAGCTGCATCCCCGCGGCGGGGAGGCGTGCGCTGTCGGGGCGGGTTTTAACGAGTTAAACCCAGAAGTTGTTGGGGATCAAGCTTTGAAATCCCCCCCAATTCTGAGGGTAAAACGTGGTGGGGGGGAGGTTCCCCACCGGCGGTCCGTTACCTCCCCCCCCCCCCCCGACAGCCACTTTCCACCGACCTCTCATCCCCCCCTGCGCCTCTTTTTTAGCTCCAGCGTGCTTATTAACACAACATTAAAACCACCACCCGCCTTAATTACAATCTCTCAGGGTGGGGGGGGAGGCGAGCGCAGCCCCTTCCCCTCCTTCCTTCCCCCGCCGCCTCGGCTGCGGAGCCCAAATTTTGAGGTTACCTCCTCCTCGTGTCCACCAGCGGGACGCGGCGTTAATAAAAAAGCTTTTTAGGAACACCCCCAGCTTCGCTTTAAATCAGGAACCCGTGCAGCTTGCTTTGTTATCTCGGCCGCTTTGCTGCCTCGCTGTTTCTCTACCTTTAATTTCCATGGTGATGATAGTTTATAAAGTGAAATACGTGACCAGGCCAACCGCTGCTGTATGAAGGAGGTTCGTTTGCTAGAACCTAATTAAAAGCACCTCGCTGTGCTCCCGTTTCTGTTGAGAGCTGCGTTTTTAAACCTCAAAGGAAAACACCAGGTGGGAGCGGAGCCGGGGGGGGGGGGGAGTGGTGTCGATTTGGGTGGAAAAGAGGAGTTTTGTGGTGCTCAGCGCCTGCCTCTTCTCCTCCCCTCGCAGATTACTGCATGAACCCGCAGACGGTCCTGCTGCTCCGGGTCATCGCTGCCTTCTGCTTCCTGGGAATCATCTGCAGCCTCTCGGCTTTCCTCCTCGACGTCTTTGGACCCAAGCACCCGGCGTTAAAAATCACTCGCCGCTACGCTTTCGCTCACATCCTCACAGGTAGATCCCCGCCGGCGCTGGAGCAAAGCCCTGGGTTTCTTTTCCACACACACCCCCCCCAACCCTTAAAGGGCTGGAAAAACACAACCCCCGACAGCTTTTTTTTTTTTTTCAGCCTTTGGTTCAGAGCTGCAGCGCTCTCAACCCGCAGAGCTTCCCCTTCGTGGCGTTTCGGGTCTGAAGGGTACCAGAAGCCTCGCAGCTAAAACTGGAGTTAAATCTCGGAGGCGGGGGGGGGGGGGGGAGGAGGTTGAGGATAAACATTAAGTTTCTCTTAGTGGGTCTTACTTTTCAAAGAGATCCGTAGTGCCTTTCTGGGGAAGAAGGTCATCTTCCCTGGCTCGTGAGGCCGAAGGAGCTTTAACATCCCTTATCCCTGGCACAATTACCCACGTCAGAGCTGAGCCCGAGCTGTCAGCCTGCCCCAAACGCTGAGCCCCGATTTGTCCCTGCAGCTCCTTCTAGGTCGCAAAAAAAAAAAAACCAAACCCCCAAAACCCTTGAAGCCTTTCAGCTTTTTGTGTTGCCGATCGCCTCGTTCGTTTTCCCCTCTCTCGGGCTGGATTTCAGGCGCCCGCCGCTCCCCTTCCCCACAAGCGGTTTATTTTCCTCGCTGGCCGCTCAGCGCCTCTCCCGCTCTCTCTCTCAGTCCTGCAGTGTGCCACCGTCATCGGATTCTGCTACTGGGCCTCGGAGCTGATCCTGGCCCAACAACAGCAGCACAAAAAATACCACGGTTCCCAAGTTTACGTCACCTTCGCCGTCAGCTTCTACCTGGTGGCGGGCGCCGGGGGGGCCTCCATCCTCGCCACCGCCGCCAACCTGCTGCGTCACTACCCCACCGAGGAAGAGGAGCAAGCCCTGGAGCTGCTGTCTGAGATGGAGGAGAACGAACCTTACCCGGCCGAGTACGAAGTGATCAACCAATTCCAGCCGCCGCCGGCGTACACCCCCTGACGCCGGCACCGGGACGCGGTCATCGCTTTCTCACCCCCCCCCCCCCCCCCCGAACTTCACTTTCTCGGCACCTCCTTCGCTCTTCTGATCTCTCCCGCGCAGAGGAAAGGACTTTTCGGGTCAGATGATCGGTGTTTTCTTCCTACCCCTTATTTTATTAACTCCACAGCGTTGATTTTTAACCCTGCACCGGCTCGGCTGGCCGAAATAACGACGGCGCCGTCCCCCCTCCCCGCGTGGCTTCTCCCCGGCACGAGGGGCGGTGGGATCCGCTCTCCCCCCGCGGAGATCTCATCCCTGACCTGCGCCACGACGAGAGGGGAAATCCCCCCCCGATTCCCCGGCCCGGCACGCGCCGAACTCAGTCCCTCCTCTGCCGAGGCGTAACCTACGCCCGGAGAAAGGTGTGACGCACGCGTTTGTGTATATATTTATATATATATATATATATAGGGGAAACACCCACCACAACGTGCTGGTGGGAGAGGAACGGCTCATTATAGCGGCTGTACGGCAGGAGGAAGGTGGAGCAAACACACCCCCCCCCCCTCCCCGGCCGCTCTGCCTGCTCCTCTTCTCCGGCTGGCGCTGACCACACGAGCATTTTGCACTTTATTTAGGCTGGGGGGAGGACGGTGACGGTTTCAGGGCCGGCTGCCGGGGACTGTCACCGCTTGTAAAACCCCATCTGCAAGCTCTCCTGCTGCCGGTGGTGGTTTGGGGGGAGCTCTGTGCCCTCCCCCCCCCCCCCCCCCCCCCGCCACTGCGGGGTTCAGCTCCTGTCGGCATCTCACAGAGCAAATCTTGGGGGGTTGTGTTTTTTTTTTTTAGCCAAGATAAAACCAGACTTTGGTACAGCGACAGCCCCCCGGGACGCGGGTTGAGCCTGCGCTGGCAAACCGCCGTCTCAGCCTGTAGCTTTTATGCAAGTTCCCGACCTCCGCGCCAACCTGCCTCTCCTGCTTTTCGACCCCGCTGTTAATCTCGATGTTTTTCTGTCCTGCTCTTCGTTTATTACCCCATTTCCCTCCGCAAGCCCTGGGAGACGACGGGACCTCGAGGGGCGAACGCTTCCCCGGACGGTGCCGGAGAGCCGAGGGAAAGCCAAACCCGGAGCGGGTGGCCGGCAGGGCCAGAGCTGGGGTTTTTGGGGCTGTTTAAAACAAACAAGGAAAAAAAAACAAAAACAAAAAAAAAAACAAAAAAAAAACCCCAAACCATACAGGGATGCATCAACCTGAGTACCGCAGCACCAAAAAGCTCAAGGCTGGCTCCGTGGAGGGTACGGTGGTTTTAGGGAAGGATTTTTAGGATAGGGATACCGCTCCTTGTAGGTTCTCAATCATCCGTCGAACGCTTTTATTACCTATTTTCTTGCTGCCGCCTGTCTTGCCCAGCTCATCCCTTTTTTCCTCCCCTCCCCTGCACCCGCAGCAGCACTGGCTATGCAAGAGCTTCGGCCGCTCGCCGGGGCTCAGGCTGTGGCACGAAACGGGAAAACTCAGCCCCGGGGAGAGCACTGCCCGTCCCCTGCGGGACTCGAAGGAGGAAAATCAGCCCCTTAAAACCCTCGAGGATTTTTGAGAAGGGTGCGAGCGCGGGGAGAAGGTGGCAGTGTGGTGGTCAGGGGGGTTAGTGGCTCCTCTTCCTCCTTCGTCCCACCTCCGGGCTAAACATCCCGCCAGCTCTTCCCCGGCATCCAGCTGGAGCAATAATCCAGTTTGGGTTTTCCCCCACCGGTGATTTATATGCAAGAGAGGGGCTTGAGTGTAAATAATCTGTGCATAAACACACTGTATTTCTGTAAAAAAAAAAAAAAAAAAAAAACCAAACAAAACAGGAAGAGATAAATGATGTCATTTCCCTCCCCTCCACCGATCTGCGTAGCTCGATGGAATCTAGGGGTGCGGGTGCTGCGGGGTTTGGGGCTCCCCCCTGCCCTTCTCCAGAGGAAATAAAGGGGGTGCAAAGAGCTGTGTGTGGGAGCTTGTGCTTTGTTCTGGACAGGGGGGTGCCCCTCCTTGCGCTGCGCCCCGATGAACAGCGCTGTGTTGTACCTGCTGCGCTCTGCCCCGCGCCCCGATAAACACCCCTGCCTTGTCCCCCGCTGCTCTGCCCCCCAAAAACCGTCCCAACCTGCACCCCACTCTCCCCCCCGCCCCACCAACAACCAGCCCTGCCTGCACCCTCTGCCCTGGCCCCCAATAACCACCCCTCCCTGCACCCCACTGCCCCCAATAACCACCCTTACCCTGCTCCTACAGCCTTACACCCCAATAACCACTCCTACCTGCGCCCCACTGCCCCCCAGTAACCACCTCTGCCCCCCCAATAACCCCCCCTACCTGCATCCCATTGCCCCCAATAACCCCCCTTGCCCCACTCCTACAGCCCTGCACCCCAGTAACCACCCCTGCCTGCTCCCACTGCCCTGCACCCCACTGCCCCCCAATAACCACTGCTGCCTGCACCCCACTGCTCCCCAGTAAGCGGCCGTGCCCGCCCCCACTGCCCCCCAGTAACCACCCCCTGCCCCGCTCCTACAGCCCTGCACCCCAGTAAACATCCCTGCTTACACCCCAACAAACACCCCGTCTGCTCCCCACTGCCCCCCCGGTAACTGCCCCTCCCTGCACCCCCGGCTCCCCAGTAACCGGCTGTGCCTGCCCCTACTGCCCTGCACCCCACTGCCCCCCCAAATAACCACCCCTGCCCCACTCCTACAGCCCTGCACCCCAATAAACATCCCTGCCTGCTCCCCAGTAACCGGCCCCGCACTACGCTGCTGGGGGCGTGTCCTCGTCCCAAGCCCCGCCCCTCGCCCCGCCCCTCCCGCCGTCGGCCGCGCCCCGCGCCCCGCGCGCCCTTGCCCTCCCGTCCGCGGGCGGGCGCGGGAGCGGGGCGGGGGGCGGGCCCTTCCCTCCCACCGCCCAATGGCGGCGCGGGGCGTCGAGGCGTTGGCCAATGGCGAGGCGGCGCGGCGCGATGACGCGACCGAGCAGCGCCGCGGCGGCCCGCT